TCCTCCAACACCTAGACATTAACTCCTAATGATGAAACTGAAGTTAGTATCTACAGTAACCATACAAAGCTACTAGGATGCCTTCCACTGTCACTGGCATGTATTGTTACATTTTATTTACTTTATAATATAGACAGAAAGGCTATAATTATGATAAGCAGCTAATAAACTATTAATTTTGTTTAAAAAATTCTGAAATACATAGCTTGCTTTAGAGTATAAATCTCCCTTATGCACTTTGCATAGCATTAACACCACCATTATATGTAGTTTACTTGGGAAGAAACCCCACTGATTTCAGAGCAGCTTTCTTTCAAGTTTAAGGGCTCAGTCTGCAAGTGCAAGAGATGTAATGAGGAAAGCAGGAACTGCTGTATTCACCAATCCAACACATTTTATTTGGAAATGAATCTTAATTATATTTCTATTGACACCATTTCCAAATATACAGACTTTGAGCTTTGTTTTGATGGTATATGAAAGATGGCATATATAAATGGCCAACGCAAAAAACAGTAAAGTCCAATCTGCAGAACACTTGCTTAGCCCTTGCAAATGTAAGATATACCTCTGACACAACAGACAAACTGCAAAAATAGTACACCTTAGAGAGCTTATACCCTCAAATCTAGCTGCTCTACTGCAGACCAACTCAGCTAACCTCTTATCAACATCTGCAAGGAAAGCCTTCATTTGAAAGCAAATTGTATTAACAGTTGTTACAAACTACCTTCAACCAGCAGCTCATATAAGTCTTTGATATATCCTACCGGAATGCGCCAAACATACATAGTATTTTAGAAATATTAATAATGGGCAACAACATACTCTCCTGGACCTTGCTCTGCCTACTACCAGTCCCATACAGGTGTTAACAGAGGTATGCTAGGCCTAAAAAGAAAGACTGATCCTACTTGGAAGTAGCCAGTACTGGATTCAATGGGACTCACTTCTGGGTAAACATGCATATAATATGGTTCTATATTTTACACGTTTTCCCAGACATTTAAAATTCAGTTGACATTTATCTGACATTAACCCAGCTTTCTAGAATATACCTCGTTTGGGGGGGGGGGGGGGGAAATATTTGATATAGTTCACTGAGAACGTGTACCAAAAAACTTGGTCTTCCAGTCAAACATTAAAGTAAAACTGCATAAATTTCTGTATCTGTACAGAGCCAAGCAATTATTGAATCAGTCAAACTAAAATACACAGAATCTGGTAATATTAGGTGTATTGCTGAATGAATCTTCAAAAACAAGACACTGTAGGAGCCATCTGGGCAAATAAGATATGACACAATATCCAGCAGCCTATGCTAGATCTGGGGGGTCAACAATTCTGTGGAATCTACAGTGTGGAACACATAAAAGGGCAAAAGCAATTTGTCTGAAAATAAACTCCACCAATTTCAACAGAACTTGCTCCCATAAGTCAGTGAGATAAGGATCTCAGCCTTCAATTATTAAACTGAATTGCACTTGAATTCCTCAGGTTCACGGTTTTCCATCTCTGAGAATTAACAAAATGGTACATGAACTTTAAAAAAAAAACAGCCATGAGCACAGATACATTTTAATCAGGATTTTTACAAATTTCAGTTTCCTGGTCATTAATCACCCTTTCTCACACTCCTTATGGAGCACATTACTAACTGAGGGAGGATGCCAATTCTAGTAAGTGAATGTTACCCAGCAGGGATATAAAGCTGTCAACACCACAGAGCTCTTGCTTGCTTTAAACCTCTCTCAGGCATCATATGCGTTTTAAAGAGATATTCGCCTTTTTCTCCCATAGACTTTCTATAAAAGCTGCCACTCATGAATATCACAGTACTTCTGTTTTATTACATACACATTTAAAACAGACCACTTAGATAACAACAGGTTTGTCCTGAGGAACTGCTGGAACACGATAGGCAAAAAAAGTTAACTCTCACCAGTGCAGCTAAAACTAGCATGCGAACAGCGCAAAATTTGAAAATCCCCATGGGGAGAAAACTACCGGGCCACACGTATGTGGTTAAAACATCTTTTTAAAAAGTTTACATTTTCTACTGAATTCCAGAAAAGATTTTAACCCCAGAACACCTAATTACCAAAAGAATATCTTTCTGTAAAATCTTTTGCAATGGTTAAGACAAACAAACAGCATCTTGCAACTACATAACCTTGAATTTTCCCCTTTGCTTAAGAAATATCAGAGATGATAAATATATTAACACCGTACATACCAATATTTTAATTACCACTTTCTTAAAGAAAGGCTTAAGAATATATTCTAAACAAGTACTGAGAATTAAAACTGAATGTACCGTAAAATCAATACAAAAAAAGAAACACGTAAGAACTAAAGCTTTGCAGACACCATATTTTAAAAGCTACTTATTTAAAATCTAGTGACATCTGTTTCGCGCAGATTAACTACATGAAAAAAATCTTTCACAATACTAAATCTTTCAATATAGTGACTATTTGCTAAACAATCCTTTACTATAGTTGGAAAGCATATTGTTCATGCATTTTACAGGCCAGAGACTTGTACATGTGACAACAGTTTCCTTTTGGGATAGATTTTCTCCTTTAGTCTAATCAGATTTCAGTGTTCCAGTTACAAAAGGACAGAATTTTGCACCATTTCAAATTTGTCTTTGGAATTCACATAAGTTTTCAATAAAAACACACGAGTCATAATCTGAAGACACTGCAAACAGCAAATAAATTTGTTTACCAAAAGTCTTTAGAAGGACCGTGGCAAAAAGCCTCTCATAAGATAGTTAATGCAATTATCCTAAAGCCTCTTCTAAAATAAAATAAATGCAAAATAATGCCATCTTTGCCTGATGAAGACAATGTATCTTACTACTACTTAACTAATTAGCAAGTGTTGCTGATCTGAAAATAAGTTATGGAGACTTTTTCCCGCATCTCTTTCTTACAACATGAGCAAAAGCCAACAAGAGAATGACAAGAATCTGCCAACAAAGTTTTAAAAACCCTGTGCTATGACTTCCTTATTTGAATCAGTAACAGTAAATGAAAAGGTAACACTCTTAGAACATGGCCTTGAAGAACCAATGCTTTCACATTCAGCTGCATTAAACTCTCCATCCTATTCCACAGCTGATTCAATCTTTGCCACTGATACCATCACAAACCCCCAGGAACATCTTATACAAAAGCATACTGGCAATTAGGAAGCTATGTGAGCCAAAATTTTAGAACCAGCCTTCTGCAACTAAGTGTGTATTAGCGATTACTAGAAGACATTGATGCAGACTTACTACCTTTTCCTAAAAATAAAGGAGCTGAAACACTTCTAAACAATCCTGATCAGTTCCAAGATTCATTGTCAAACATTCACGATCAGCTGCAAACCTTTTTAGTACTCTACTATGACTGTTGTTATTTTCTAACATAGATACTGAAGTGTTTAACTTCAAATCTGTTCTTCCCTCTGCTAATAGGTGCACGACGGCAAGAGTTACCAAAAGAAAGAAATGCATTCATAATAAAAGCTCAATGTTAAATATCCTTACCTAAAACAATCCCAGAGCACATAGATAGCTGGGGAGGGGGGTGTTTTTTGAGCTGCACGTTCTTGCCAATCTTTGGTAACTACTAACTCACCTAAGTGCAGCATATTTAGCACCACCACTGTACTGTCAAAAGCTAGTGCAATGGCATGCCACATTTTTTCGGTCCCTCAAAAATCAACCTACAGTATATTTTTGCTTCAGTGCTATGCAGTAAGAATTCTGTTCACCGGTATGGGTGAGTTTGGTGTATGTTTTCAAGAACGGCCTGCTTGCCAGATTCTTCTTTTTCTTTATCATGCTACAGCATTCGAGCAGTTTAAAACACACTCTAAAAGGAAAAGCTCGTGATGTAACAGAATAAATCAAGATGTTTAAGTGGCTTTGGGTCTGGGATCTTAAGAAAATCTTCTACTTAAGGCAATGAAAGTAAAACCACACCACAGAGTTCAAAACTCAAGAGTGTCAAGAAAGCAAGACAAAACTGTATAAGCCTCTGTCAAGCGACTATCAGTACAAAAGAGTAATCCATAGTCATTATCCTTAAAAAGCAACATGATCTTTGCCTTCTTAAGGAAAGACTTCTGAAGTCACTGACTGACTTATATATTTACTTGGAAATATAGTTTACAAATTACGACAAAACTTACAACCAGCACGTTGGAAATCACTGCCCCAAGAAATTCATTTCTAAAACCAAAATTTTCTAGTGAACCAGTATACACAGTAGCAGCAGTGAAGTTCCCCCCTCTTTTGTCACAATGATTCATAGAACTATAGAGGCAAATGTTATTTATGCCTGTACTAAAATGTCCAACTTTATAAATTGACTAACAGTTCAATCCAATGCAAAGTTACTCCAGTCTAAGGCCATTCAATTCGATAGACTTAGAATGGAGGAACAGGATTGCACTGTAAAGCTCTACTGAAAGAAACTGACTTCAGGCTATTATAAAAACAAAAGATGTCAAATTAACAGCCTTATTTAAGTTTATATAATGCACCTAGGAAAGATGTTAAGTTCTAGGAACAGAGAACTGACTGCTTTACAGCTTGGTCAAATAACACCCTTATTTAGAAAGCGACAGAGACCCCCCAAAAAATGTTTTAAAAAACCCTCTCAAGCCTTTTTTGTTCACCTTTCTAAGAAAGAGGCAAAGAAGTGAGCAGTGAAAAGCTTCCAAGGCCTGGCAAGCTGTGAAATCAGCCAGCTAACACCTCTGTACAGAGTGGCAGAACGCCCAAAGTATGCCAACCCTCTGTGCAAGCCAGTTTTCCTATCACGAGACTGTTTAGTTACTGACGAGAGGCAAACCAGGCATCAAAAGGCTGCCCTGGACTTTCTTCCTGTAATCCTACACCAGGACACCCAAGCTTCACTAACCTGAACCCTGACACCCTGGGCCATTAGACCTCCCTGGCCAGTCTGTCGCATACCCATTCGTTCGACTAGGTTTGTTACCTCCCACTGATTTGGTGACTGAGCCGTTGGGCCTCCCTCGGGCTCCCACGGGGCTGCCGTTCTGTTCCAGCCGGGCCACCTTCACCGGCGGAGGACCTTTGACTTCGGGGCTCCCGCTCCCTCTGTCTGGGCTCTCCCTCAGACAGGGACTCTCACTTCTCCGGTCCATACTGCTCGGAGTTGGAGACAGCGTTCCCACGGGAAGATCACAATAAAACGAGCAAGGACCTAAAGAGAGAGAGAGAGAGAGAAAGAGAAGGAAAGAAACAAAACAGCACCGCTTCAGAACACATCCAAACTTCAACAAACTATTTCAAGCACCTCTACCTCGGAAGGGGGAATTGCTTTTGGCAGGGATCGGTGGGACCCACATCACCCGCCAGAGCCCTCCAGAAGGCTCTGCTATTCCACCTGACTTAACAGGCTGCCTGCGATGCTCTCGGGGAGCCAGCAGCCAGCACAGAAAGCTCGGCCGAAGTTGATCGCTCATTGAGCTTCAGCTTTATAAGCCGGGGCTATTACCGGAGCTCTTTACGCTCCTGGGGCTTCCGTCTTTGGGGGGGGGGAGAGGACAATTTAGAAAAGCCAGGGACTCAGGCAAACAAATCTATTGAGCAGCAAGCGGGCAGCACTCAAGTGCCTAATGCATTTCAGATGGCGGGTGAATCAAGACCGGGCTCCAGTTATGTACCTAGTGATGCATTGAAACAGCCGTTCTGGGCTGAGAGAGCTATCCCGGAACCGCAGGCCGAACTCAAGTGTCAGCCGAGCCCGTTTTTAAGAGATTAGCCCCCATTTCCCAGAGGCTAAGGAAAGGAAGCAAATTCCCCCCAAAGTAATGCAGATCAGGCAGCTCTAGAAACTAAAAGGCATCGAGGCTCATCTTGAATCAGAGTTTCACTTGTCTGGCAAAAAAAAAAAAGTCAAGTTCAGCTTTGCTCTGAAAACTTTCTGCTCTCCCCCCCCCCGCAGTGGGGCTCGCAAGTCCCAGTGCCTGCACCCGCAAGTCGGTGCAATATTTGGTGCCGAAAGGCTCTCTCTCTCTCTAGCAGATTGTGTTTGCAAGCTTGACTACACAATGGTAGTAAAGCAAAAAGAGAGAGAGGAATGGGGCTGGAGAGGATTAGGGAACAAACCACAGAGAAACAGAAAATAGGTATTAATATAGAAAAGACTAATGCTCCAACCAGACACCCCTCAGGCCCGATTATTCTGTAACCACCAATCGATTTGTCTCTCTACACACACACACTCCTTTAGCTTCCGGAGATAAATCTTTGGAGAGCATCGCCCTGATTTCCACGGGCTCCCCTGGCCGTACTTACTGCTTATAGTCTGTCCGTAACTTGGCTGAGCCGGGCTCTGTCCATGGATCAAAAGTAGAGAATCCAGGGTGGAAAGTTTTATGGGTTCCTTCTTGAACCTTCCGATTTCTTCCTTGTGTTGTTTTATCTCCCCCTGTCCCTCCTCCTCGAGTTTTGTGTTTTGGGGGTTATTTTTTTTTTTTGGTGGGGTTTTTTAAAAGCTCCCTGGGTCAGGACACCCCTCTCTCTCTCCCTCTCCCTCTCTCCCTTCTTGCTTCACAGCCCTTGACAGTTGG